ATTTCGACGTACCTGAAATATAGCTGAATGTTCGGAATCCGCCGGAAGAATCTTAATTTGTGCTTGTGTGCAAGAGGAAGAACAAAAGGCCCTCCAGCAATTAATGTCTCTTTATTAGCCAAAGCTATGTCTTTTCCTGTTGTTATGGCGGCTACAGTAGGCTAAATTTGCCAAATTTTAACATTAGATTCCACATTGATTATCCATTTATAATCTAGAAAAGATGAGCCATTGGAAAAAAATGTATAAATAATTTACCTTCAAAACCTGCACATCCATCAATCCCCGTCACCACAGTAACAACATCTGAATGCCGAGCGATCTGGAATAAGAGGTTCGTTACAACACATGTTAGAAAAGCATATAAATAATTAAATAAAACCAACAGAGAATAAGTAAGTATACGATTAAAAGCTATTGAACAATGTGTGAAAGCTAACCTCAATGATTCCCTCCTCTCCCGGTATGATCTCGAGCTTTTCTTCAACATCAGCTAGAGCCTCCTTGAGCTCATCGATAAGCGACTCGTCACGAACAGAAACTAATTGAGGTCAAAACATCTTCATCTACATGACGAGGCACCGGATTGAAATCCATAAATTGAAGCTAATTCAATCATTTTTTATAAGCAAAAGTAGTTGAATAAAAGCCAAAAGTTTAGTGTGCTGAAAGTTGAGTGTTTTGCAAATAGTAAGTAAAAAATTTCTTTCATTGTATGTAAATTGCAGATAAGAATCGGTTTCATATTCGGATTGGGTTATGTAAAGCTGATGATTACTTTCCTTCGGTTGAGCTATTTTCTTAACATGATTCCATGACAATATTACTTTTGGATTAGACGGTCACAGTATGAGAACTTAAACATATTCTTAACAAATAAAAAAATCTTGAGTTCTTCATGTTATCAACTAATCGATCACCTGATCGGTAAAAAGAGTCATGTTTGAACCAGCGGCAAGAGCAACAACCTTAAACTTATCCGAATTTTCAGCAACTATATCCAATGTCTGAAGAAGCGAACATTAAATATACAATATATAATCAATATAAGAAAACAAGATAATGGATCTCAATTGCAGAAAGTTGACTTTAGGAAACCCATCATGTGCTAAGAAAATATTCAGCCATGATCAGCCAAGCATGTGCAGACCGACTTAACGAACTCCAGTTAAAAATATTTATTAATTCTTGGTCTTAAAACGCACCATAATTTGTATCTCTCAAACCTGTGTTCCAATGGAGCTAGTGGATCCAACAATTGAAATGGGTTTCGGTCCCTCCCACAATTTACTGTCAGAATCGACGGCAGCTCGGCCCGGCCAAGCCGGAGGAGGTGTCTGGGCTGAACAATTGACTCTTTTTGAAGC